CCCATTCCTGAGGGTGCGTCTTTGTTCTCCAAGCTGCGCGCGATGATCTGTTCGCTCTTGGGCATCACTAGTGAGGCTGCCATGAAGTTCTTGTGCGCGCGCTGGTCGCGCGATGAGAACGACCTGGAGTTCGCCCAAGAGTTGATGGAGGTCGAGGCGGCCATCGAAGTCTTGGACCAGCACGACCATGACACAGTGAAGCAGCAGATACACGCGGCGGAGACCAGCGTCAAGGCCCACGAAGAGTTCACGGAGGAGTTCGAGGCGAAGCTGCTCGAGCTCGCACGCGCCAAGGCTGGCGGCAAGAAGCCCAAGGTAGGCGCGGGGAAGACGGAGAAGATCCCCACTACGCTGACGCAGAAAGAGGCCAAGAAGTACCTGCCGCCAGGTGCCTCCATCTGGCGCGGCTTCTCTCGCGGTGAGTGGATGGGGCACATGCCCCCGCACAGGCGCGTGAGCGCACCGTGGTCGAAGCACACTGAGGCTGGTGCCATGCGAGTTGTATTGAAGAAGGTGTGGATCCAATATTTGGCGAAGGAGGTCAAGGACCGCTCTCGCTGCCCCTGGCCCGAGCTGTTCGAATGAATTCGACGTCGTTTGGACGTTCGCGTCCTTGTATTTCTTGAGGAGGGGATCGGGGGCAGAACCAGGGCGAGGATGGGGAGGGCACGTCGAGGATTGCTTGCGCACGTGCGTTATTGTTGTGCTTGGGGGAAAGCAGTGAATTTAAGTCGCCGTGCGACTTTAGGTTTAAGATTGTTGCGCCTGCTTGAGCCTCGTGGAGATACGAATGACAGCTGTTCGATGTGTGCGTGCGCTTTTCGGGGCTAGACGTGGCCCGATTCCTTTGCGCTCTCAGAGCGGGGGAGAGGTAGGAGGAGGAGGAGGAGGAGTAGGCGGAGGAGGAGGTGGAGGAGGAGGAGGAGGAGGGAGGAGGAGGGAGGAGGAGGGAGGACCTCAAGAAGAGGAGGAGGAGGGATGACCTCAAGGACGCACACGATGGACACGCGAGCTGCCTAGGCTACGACGGCCCCTGGTGCACTAAGTAGTGTAGGCGCCCATGTGGGCGGGAGCGCCTCGATGCAGCTTCGCATCGCCTCCGAAGGATCGCCGCCGCCGAGCGGCCTGGAACGTCAGGCGGTAGAGAAAAACTGGTCGTGGACACTCCGAGAGAGAACGGGCTATAGTGAGTGAGGAGTGTCAGGGAGAGAGGAGAGGGAGAGAGAGAGAGAGAGAGAGAGAGAGAGAGAGAGAGAGAGAGAGAGAGAGAGAGAGAGAGAGAGATAGAGAGAGAGAGAGAGAGAGAGAGAGAGAGAGAGAGAGAAAGGAGAGGGAGAGAGAGAGAGAGAGATAATAGGCAACTTGGATGTCATCCCCACGGGGTTGGTCGCTGGGGCCAGGGGGCTTCTCCAGGGGCACAGGACTTGATTTGCCTTGCAAGGGGTTTCGCTTTCTGGCACTCGTTGTTTGCTGGATTCGGTGTGTGCGCAGGAGGGCGTAATCGAGATCAGGTTGGGCATGGCCCCCTGGCCCCTCGCGCGCCTTGTCTCCCGCGGGGAGTGCGGGCTCCGCGTGCGTGTTGCCCCCCGCCAGTGGTCCTTGTTGTTACCATTTATGCTTCATCTACTGTTATGAATTATTATGCGCTGGCTGCTCTCACTGGTATTGTTCTGGCTATATACCGTTCCACTTTCCTATCCTGCCCCCCCCCTCTCCCGCCTCTTACTTTTATTCGTATTCGAAAGGTTCGGCTCAAGGTACGCCGCGTCGGCTATGACGGGGCCTCGGCGAATTGCCCGAGAGGCGATTCATAGGGAGCTGTGCTCCCCACGCCGACTTCCCAAATTCCAGGGGGGGCGCCCAGCAGTGGCTATGGTCACGTTCGCGGCCTCTAACGTGTAGCTTGCGAATTTAGCTTCGCATTCATATAAGGGCATTTGGCCAGCAGAATCTTTCATTATCTTATCGTTGAACGCTTTGACCTTCTCATATTCCGCCGAGCCTGTATGCAATTCCATGCGCAGTGGATTTTGAAGGACCGAGATCTTGAAACCGTTCCTGAATATTTTTACGATCAGATCTAGCACATCGTTCGGGGCAACCCCATCCCCATACCTGTTGTCCATGCACACGAGCATGTATTTGCCATGAGTCCTCTCCATCCTGAAGCAATTGATGCCACTCCGCTGCGCTATGGCGCATACTTTTTTTTCGAACAAAGAACAACGGGGGCGTTTGGCTGCTCATATGCAGCTTTGATCTGCTGCATCTCCCCAACAACATTGTGTATGTGCAGTTCACGCTTGGAGGTCATGACGCCTCGCGTGGAAACCACCTTTGTTGAGCCAAAAGCCTACGCGGTGCATATATGCAAAGGAACATCGCAATTTCGCAATATGCAAAATTTGAAATCCACGAATGCATTGCACCGATCGCACTCTTGATGGGGGAACCAGGCAACACTCTAGCAACGCCATGCAAAAAAAAAAAAAAAAAAAAAAAAAAAAAAAAAAAAAAAAAAAAAAAAAAAAAAAAAAAAAAAAAAAAAAAAAAAAAAAAAAAAAAAAAAAAAAAAAAAAAAAAAAAAACGAATATCAGCATTGAACAAACACCTAATACACCAGGGAAGCCAGCCTACACGCCATCGTTTTTTCCAACATATGTTAAGAGTTCGCATAGTTACTAACTGTTCTAACTCCGCGTAACTATACTTAATTTGAGGGACCAAGCTAGCGAAGTTAGTAAGTTCGTAACCTAGTTATAACACATTCTACTTACTCATAACATACTTATAACATTGGTATAACATAGTTATAACTCACGGTAGCACTTATTAACCACGCCGATCCTTCCGGGAGGGGGTCCAGCAGGGGGGGGGATTTTCGGAGGGGGGAACCCCGGGTTCCGGAGGAAGAAGGGTGGCAATTTTTCACAGTAAAGCGGCGGTGGATCACGCTCTCTCGTGCATTAATTTCGCGGGTTTCGAACGCACGTGTTGCGCAAACGTTCGCAACACGAGGGTGGTCTGGCTGACTGGGGGGTAGCGTGTTCATGTATTTGGCTGGGCGCTAAGGTCTTCTGTGGGCTTCCTATTGTAGAAATGGGGGGCTGCGAAGTATGCTGCATGCATTTGGTTTCGGCCCCGCCGTTGTGCGCTTTTCTCGATACGGTGGCGCCTCTGTACACCAATGTTCGCCTTTTTGCGCTGGAGGCGCTAAAGAAACAGGCCACGTGAGGTGATTCGGTAAACTCCCCTTTGCTACTCGTCCGCTCTAATCGGTGTCGCTGTTGACGCCATAACCGTTGCCGTCAGTCGGTGCCGTGGTCGTCGCCGTCGTCGTTGCTGGCGTCGCTGCCGTCGTCGTTGTCGCTGTCGTCGCCGTCGTTGTCGTCGTCGTCGCCGTCGTTGTTGCCGTCGTGGTCGGTTTCGTCGCCATCGTAGTCGGGGTCAGGACCGCCGTCGTCGAAGTCGGAATCGTGTGTGGGGTCGTCGTCATCGTCCATCTCGGATGTCGTGGTCGTCGCATGTTGTCGTATGCGTCGGAGGGGGCGGGAGGAGCGGGAGGAGCGGGAGGATGAAGAAGACGAGGAGGACGAGTGTACATCCAAGACGCATCAACGATGTTGCAAGAAACCCTCTCCAAGTTCCTCCTTTCATAGGTCCCTACAAGACTGCAGGTTCATTGCGAGAAGGTTCCCATTGAAAGTGAACAGTCCGAGAATCGATAATCGTGCCATTGCACCATTCCTGGAATTTCAATACCGCGGATTAACGTGATTGTTGCGCCCCCACAGTCTTAGCTCGTGCCAGAATGCAATTCCTTGGACTTTGCAGTGTTGCGTCCTGACAATCCTAAACCCCCATTCCTGGTACTGCAACCATACGAGCCTTGAATATGTTGTAAACTCTTAAGACGAATGCGTGCGGCGCTAAAGCCCGAACCACACTCTGAACAACAATCGCCCTCCAGGCCTGAAACGGCTGCAGTTTTCTAAGATAAATGAGCTCGGCGCTGAGACGAGGGCCACATGTTGAAAAGGATCCGGAGTCGGAAGAACAAGAGGACGAGGAGGAGGAGAAGGAGGAGAAGTGTGATGAAATATTTCGGGATGGTGTGGGGTGTGGAGAGGACTGAGGAAGGGACTGAAGAATGGGCAGAGGGATGGGATGTCTGATGTGTGCGGAGTTGTGTTTTCCGGAGGTTCTGGGAGGTCTTTCATATTTATATATGTTCATATATGTGTGTGTGTGTGTGTGTTCGAGGGCTCTTGCAAGTGCTTGTAAGCCTGAAGCGGCTCCCAGGTTCCCCAAGGCGATGGAGAGGGGCTATGAAGAGTGGAACGTTGAGGAAACAGTGGTGAGGGAAGTGTGTCAAGACGAGAGGGGAGTGCGTTCGGGAGTAATCACTCCCACGGACTCCGCATCTGTGGACGCGTGCGAGAGCTGCCAGAAGCGGGTTATGAAACCTTTACTTACGTAGACCAGATTTTCGGGCGCAGGATGGGATGTCAGTTTTTGTGCAATGCGCCTTCACTCCTGTCCTTCTGCGCCCACTCCTACTCCTCCGCCGTCCACTCCTACCCCGTCCACTCTGATACGTCGTCCGTCCTCGTTTGGTTCGCCTCCGTCCACTCCTGCGCGTCCTCACCCCTCCTTGTCTTCGGAGGCGGCCCTGTACATGTCCTGTGGAGGAGGGCGAGGAGGGCGGAGTTCTCTTACAGGCCTTCGGAAATTCCCTACAACCTCTGGAGCTTTCTGGAGTGGCGAAAACGATCGAGGCGGCCGCCACGGCGGCAGCGGCGACGGCAGCGGCGGCGACGGCGGCGCCGGCGGCAGCGACGACGGCGACGACGGCGACGACGTCGGCGACGGCGACCACGACGACTTCGATCATGACGATGACGACGACGACGGCGACGACGACGACGACGGCTGCGGCGGCGGCGGCGACGACGGCGGCGGCTTCGGCCGGTGTGCCGCCCGCCGGCTCTCCCGCGCGAGGGGCACATGAAGTGCTGCCCCGTGGAGGCCTCTCGCCGACGCCCGTCGCTGCCGCCGCCGCGTTTCGGCCGTGGTGCGGGGAGGGCCAGCTCATCATCGTCATGCAGTGATGGGCCGGCGTTCCACAATGTGGAGGTCCTCCTCCTCTTCCTCCTGATCCTCCTCCTCCTCAACCTCCTCCTCATCTCCTCCCCCGCCTCTTCCTCTCCCGCCTCCTCCTCCTTTTTCTCCTCCTCCTTCTCCTCCTCCTCCTCATCCTCCTCATCCTCCTCATCATCATCATCCCCACCGCCTCCCTCGCTTCCTCCTCCCCCTCCTCCTCCTCCTCCTTCTCCCCCTCCTCCCTTTGTCCTTACTCCCTCCTCCCTCCTTCTCCCTGCTCCTCCTCCTCCTTCTCTTCCTCCTCCTTCTGCCGTTGCCGCTGACCTTCTTCTTCTCTTCCTCCTCCTCCTCCTCCTCCGCCTCCCCCGCCTCCCCCGCTTCCTCATTCATTCATTCATTCATCGATGAGGCGGACGGTTCGAAGCCTATACAGAGCAGGATGAGCGAGCAAGCAAGGAGATGGACGAGAGAGCATATCACACGAAGAGGTGAGATGCTGAGCCACTGGTGCCACCTGTGCTACTGCCACGGGCGCGCAAGAAAGGACAAAGGGCAGGCAAGACAATTAGGAAAAGAAGAGCCTTCACACAGGAGGCGTAGGTACTGCCAGCGGCGCGCTGCACCCCGTTGTGCAGCACCCACACGTTACTACTTTTTAGCGTGACTGTAACACGGGCGCCAGCCAGCGAGGCTGGGGCAAACCTTCACGTGCGGGCCCTTCCCAGGTTTGAGTTGCAGTCCAGCGAGGGAGTGAGATTGAAAGCCCAGGGTCCTTGGCGTCACAAATCCTACAGGTTGGTGGTAGGTGGTCGCCTGCGAGGATAGGTGATGCAATCGGTGCGAGACAAATCAGTGTATGGGTCCAGGGGAGCGTATAACCCACGGAGACCAAACGGAAGATCCCAATCATCTTCCACAAACTGTAAATCCAACCTTCTACGAAGCCTGGCCTCCCTGCGAAGGTCCCAAGACAAGGGCCTAGCACCGAGGGTGCCAGGGGCGGAGCCCCAAGGGGTGCCATGTCGGAGCTCTTGGTGTACCTCAGGGAAGCCCTCGCGAATCTGTTGCAAGAGTGCAGCAGCCAGTAACCTAAATATCAGAGTAGGCACCCTGCGCAGCGCATCCTCCCCCCTCCACTCTGATGCGAAGCTCTCAACACGTCTAGCCTGGTGACTCTCATGATTGCAGAGGAGCCCCCCTTGAGCGTCATGATTCCTAGCGTCCAGAGCCGACATCCGGACTCCCAAAAGACAAGTGGGATTGCGAGCGCTGCCACCGAACCTGCATTGATGGAGTGTGTGCTTAGTAACTCCCTCCATTGCTTCGAGCGTAACGACCTCGGGTAAGGACCAAACACTGGGTGAGCGAACGCCTGCTTCCTTTTGGGCAGGATGGGCAAGGATGGCCGGAACGCAAAGCTTAAAAGCCTCGTATAGCAGCAAGAGAGAGACACGAAACAACTTGTTGTCATTATGCACTTGCTCATTCTCGAAACTGTTCAGTGCTCCCTTCCCCCACGGGTTGTTGGAGTCACGAAGGAGGCAAGGGTCTCCCTCTCTCGGCCTGTGCTGCTGGCCTCCTGTGTTCCACGTCCTGGATGGGGGGGTCGCAACAATGCCTGCCACCCTGCCTGATCGAAGGAGGTCTAACCATAGTTCCCTCCGATGTAGCCAGTGGCGAGGGGTGATCACCACCGATACCCAGCACGACACACATTGCGGGAAAAAGAGCCTGCATCCTCTCAAAGTGGTCTTGGAAATCACCCTGCCACCGAGGTCCCCCAAAGAGGTGCAGAAAAACTTTGAAGGGCCGAATAGGGGAGCTACTGGGCACCTCCACTCTAGGCGCCACTGCTGTAGGGGGAGCAACAGGAGGGGAGAAAACAAGCTGACGCCTAGATAACGGCGCCCGAGGTGCAATCGGTGGTCCCTGACATTGGAGCCAGGGAAGCGCAGCGAAGCTGTCCGACCGCCCTTGCTTCCTATTGAGAGCAGCTTCTTGCTTGGCTCCCTGGCGAGCCTGAGATAGCTCATCTGCCGAGGGTAAATGCCCCGACGAGTGCCAAGCAAATTTGCAAGCAGGAGCGTTCGAGAGATGTTTAACCAAGCGTGTGACATGACGGAAAGCACGTAAGCACACCTGGCAAAGCGTGCCCGTTGCAATGTTGCTGGGTGAGAGAGACGACTTATGCACTTTGCCCACATGGGCGTGCAGTTGCTGCGCACTGCATGCAACATGTCCACATTCATAACAAACACATCCGACCGAGGAGGGGGAGGGGTCAGACGTGCTCTGTGCGTCCAGCCCGACCTGCTGAAGTCTGCGTCACCAAACCTCTAGGTGCGTTTGGTCCCTGTAAAACCTCTTGGCCTTGATGATAGCACTTCGTAGCATGCTCTTGTAACGTCTAGAATCGTTCCTAACCAGGGCAATCCAAGCTTCGCCCCCATCCTCTGGGGCAGGGCACTCAGTGACAAAGAAATGAAGCCACTCAATGTCTGCGCGAACGAGCGATGGCCAACCCCAGGGGTCCTCCCAATTCAGATCCAGGAGAGCCCGAAGTACTGGAGGCGCCAGCCTCAAAACTCCGGCCAGAAGACGCGAACGCCCAACCAGAAAAACAACTTTGGTAGGAAAGCGGTTGGTGTCCAACAGCAATTGTGCAATTATGAGGTGGTCCTCAGAATTGTCGGCGGCAGGCACGCCCGCCGCAACGCGGTAAACCGCAAGGCGGGCCGTTTGAATCCTCTTGAACTGAGCCGCAGTGAGACGGGCCCAAACGGGAGCACCACAGAAAAGCACCGAGGAGGCCAGGGCCTCTGCCAGCGTGACTTGTTGGCGAGCGGCAGTTGTTTACGGGGAGCCACTGTATGCCGAATGGGCCGAAGTGCTTGGAAGGCGCTGGCGGCGCGGGCCTGGATGTCGGGCCCCAGGGGACCGTCGGCCGCAACTTGGCTGCCGAGAATTCTGTGGACCAGGGAAGTGGGAAATGAAAACCCCCAACATGCAGAAGTGATGTCCGATATGGCATTGCCCGGTAGACTGCGCAGCGCAATGCGGGAACCTTTGCCATTGGGCGAAACCAGCACTTTGGTTCTGGCGCCATGCATCGAGAAGCCCGCTGAAGCGGCAGCACAACGTTCTCGGCAAGGGTGAGTGCGGAGGCCATGACTTCTGCTGGGTTCTCGAGCGGTAGGAGTACTGTGAGATCGTCAACGAACGAAAGGTCAGTGCACGCTGTGTCCCAGTCCCTTTCCGTTGCGAACTTAAGTGGCGGAGCGTCGTGCGCTTCCTGCCATGACCGACCCATGGTCTGGATGCCCTGCCGCATGTCCAAGTGCACCTGCCGAAACACCGAGTTGAAAATGTCGGTTGCTGCAGCTGTGCCTGGTCGTGACCCTAAGGGCGGTGCAACAAATCCCTCCGCCTCCCTGACTTTCCAATGAGTGCCTCTCTGAGTGTCTTGAATGAGAGCCAAGAGCTCATCCCTGGGAAAGTGATTGTCCAGGAGGGGTTGCCTGCGCAGCTGCGCTTTAACTCCCTGGGCGAGAAGAGGGGGTGGGGAAAGCTGATCAAGCGCCTCGGAGAGACGAGCCTCATCGCCAGGCAATTGTAAGGCTAGTTGCTTGATAGTGGTGTAAAACGCCTGGGCTATGTCTAGACAAATGACAATCCCCGAAGAGCGACTGTGAATACAGTGGCGGAGGAATGTGCGGACCGCTAGTGCAACCATATCAACGCTCCTGCCCCCAACGCCACCGCATTGTTCGCAAAGAAGGGCGGACGCAAAACAAGTCATGCGCCAGTGAACGTAGGTGCGTATGGTAGAGCTTGCAGAGTGCACCGGCCAGGAGGATGTTGCGTTGGTTTTTAGCGATCGAGGGCGTCCCAGAGCCCTTGCAAAAATAAACATCCTCCCCCAGCTTGAAAACAAAGGGTTCCCTACCCCAATCGTGATTTTAACCGGCAAGGGCCCCAGTAACCTAGACAGCTGAAGGGGGGCCATCTTGAATGCGCAACTGGGTGCGCCGTCAATGCCAGGGGCCTTGCCCTTCTTGGAGGCGCGCATGAGATGTTGCAAGTCCAGGGGGGTGGGCGCATACTTGAGCAAGTGCTGGTCAACGCTGCTCAGGAGGTCAGGGAGCTGATTATAAGCTTGCAACGTGCCTGGCAAACACGCGTCGAGTCCCTTTTCCACTTTACAAAAGGGCCGCTGCATATTCTGAGCCCCTTGCTCATGTGCGCTAAGGATCATGGGTCCGACCGAGCCGTCTGGGCGCTTAGTGGGTTCTGATACCCCCTCGTCCGCCATGAAGGGGATGGAGTTGGAGGGGGGGGGCGCCCCTGGATTTGCCCCCGGCAGCGAGAAGCCTATTGATCCGGTTCCATTCATTCCTGGGCATGTGGGCGTCCGCGGCCAGTAGAATTTGGTCTGCCGCTCGAGGAAGAAACTCGGGGTGGCCCTCTTCATTTTTTCCTAACTGCATCCAGACTGTTAGCGACGAAGTGGGTGATCCTAATTGCGAAATCAGCCCGCACTGCTCAGCTGACGCTGCCGATGAAGTTTTGCCGAGAAGCGAAGCAACTGCACCAATGCAACAAATGTGGTAGGCTAGACTTCAAGATGGATTCTGGAAAGATCGCCTGAAATCAGACGTGAGTCAAAATGAGACAGGGAGGCAATATGGGATGATAGCGGCACTTCAGCACAAGGCGCAACCACAAACCACCTGCGGAGGGCTCTCTGTGAGCCTCTTCTTAGACGTATCATGTCCATGACGTCTGGTGAAAGGAACTTCTTGTTGGGCATTCGCCTAGTTATGACAAAGCGTGAGTGGGCCGCCTGTGCGACGCGGGCTGGCACATCGTGGCAGTGCTGATTTAGTTCGCAACCCCGGGGTGTTAGGGGAACGTCTGCTAGTAGC